TTGCAGAGCCAAGCTCCATTAAGGCCTTCGCCCCGCTGAGTTTTCCTGTGCGTTCCGAGTTACGTGCGAGCAGTTAGTGGGACTGTTGCCATAATATCTGACAGTTGCTAAAGGCTTATATTGATAACCAACAGATGTATATGTAGCCTGCTTTTAGAGAAGATACTTTATCTTGGGAACTGGAGCGTTCTAGTAAGTTGCGTTCTCATGGAGACAAATAACACCGACGCTGGCTTCCTTCTAAATCTCTCCGTTGCGTTTATCTTTTAACTCTGCCGTACCAACCCGGCTTGTCTGTCGTTGCGCTTGTGCTGCCTTACCCCCAGAGAGATTCGGAAAGACACCTATCAGCTGCGGGGTGGAAGCTGCGAATGGGAGGTGGGCACAAATGTCCGTCCCTGGATTCAGGCCGCGGTGCTCCTAATGAGAAGCCCAGCTGTCCCCCTCCTTCATAATTCTCAGCTGCTGCAACGGGGAAGGGGGGGGACAGGATTTCGAGTACGGTGGTGTCCTGGGAGTCTGGTTTGCAAATTAGAGAGCCTCCCGCTCCGTGGCATTTGGCTAACTGGTAACGGAAAAGCATGAAACCCTCCACCCTCTGTCACAGGCGATAATGAGATGCTTGTTTCTTTTTCCAGACCCTTCTGAAACCTAGGAAAGCAAACCTTTACCCCCACCTCCATTGTTTCAAGCCGTCCTGCTGGATGAAATGTAGAAATGGAAACTGAAGTTATTGCATGGCAAAGCTGGAAGTGCTGGCAAAGCTGTTTTAGCTGTTGTTAGCAGAGTGTTGTAGACGGCACCTAATCTGCTCATCTGCAGCGTAGACACGGATTTTAAAAAAAGTAATTTTAAAATATGGCTGGTAGGTGTCAGGGAGACCAGGGAAACTTTCTTTGTTACTGGCAATTAGTTAGGGTGTTGTGTTGTGTTTTGTTTTGTTTTTTATTTAAGTATCCAGAAAGTTAGCGTTACCTTTTGTCAAGCTTGAATTTCATGTTAACTGGATAGAGTTATTCAAAGACGGTGGTTGGATATCATTACGCTTTTACAGATTTAGTAGTACAAACTTGTATTTTGAACTGCAGCCCCGCCCCTCCATTTTCACAGTACTTTAAGCATAGTTTTTCATAGTACTTTTTCACCCCCTTTTTCACCGAGTTTCCTTGGTATGGAGGTAGCAAAGTTGATTGTTTGCCTGTGCTGTTTTCTCTGCGTCCGTGATACTGTTGTCTTTTTGTGAACTGACTGTCCATGTTGAACTTGTAATAAAGATGTGGCACATGAAGATTGTCCTTGTGCACTGAGACTAGAGACGTTTTCTAAATTACAGTGAACCTGTCAGGCAGGTTTATCGTCAGTAACTTGGCTGTAGTTTGTCAGTTTGACACTCAAGTACGATATCAAAAGGCGTGTTCTGCTTGCAGACTTGCTTGTTGTCAAATAACAGGGCGATTGTGCTTGGATAACACAGGGTGCTTGGGGCCCCCCTCGCGGGCCCGTTGCACGGTCCTTGTCCGCTGACAAATCCATTGCTATTCTTTGCTGTTGCTAGGGCCAGTGACATATAAAGCTACACGGCGGGGGGGGGGAATCAAGAGAAACCATTGTCTTCTTTCGTTATGGGTAACATTATAAAAAGACTGTCTTGTGAGACGAGTCACTGAATTAATACAACACGGTTTTGACAGCAATTGTTATTTTCAGCACCGCTATTTTCTCTTTCTGATCTGTTTCTTCCTTTCTGAAAAGACTTTATAAACCTCTCCAATGGTTGAATAGGTTATTCTGAATCTTTGGGGAAAAAAAAAAAAATTAAACATGGGAATTGGACTAGAAGGTAGCTTTGGTTCCAAAAAAATTCAGCTTGGTAAGTTCTCTCTAAAAGGAAATTACAGCATAGTTGCAGGTACTTTAGCTTACATCTCCAAGGAAAAAAATTAAAGATAGTTCTGGTAGGCGTGCCATATGGTAACATGCTTGTGTTATCCTACGCTGGCAAAACTTACGTAAAAAAGAAGCTAGATGAAAATCATTTAGTTTTAAAAGGAAAAGATTCATTTTTATTATTGAAGTTGTGAAATTGTCTTTTCTTAAAAAAGAAAAAAAAAAGGAAAGCCATCTATGTATTAGTAAATCCCTCTCAGAAAATTGCAGTGTATAGTTTTTTTTTTAAATGAGGTTCACTTAAGTAGTCATAACTGATGAGACTTTGAAAGACTAGGAGCTGATGGAGGCAGCAAGTCAGGGTGAGGATGAGTAGCTGTTGTTTGGGATACGTATGTTTATGAATCCATCCAAAGTTAACTTATCAAGCAAATTAGGGGAAAGATGTGCTCTTTCTTCTCTGTCTCGTTATACATTATGGTAGAGCCTAGCAGCTTCTACTGATGATGTGTGTGGGTTAATTTATTTTTTAAAAAAATTAATGAAAATTATAGTTTGTGTGTATATGTGCAGAAGGTGCGCTGGGACGTGATTTTTTTTTTTTTTTTTTTTTCTTACATATCTTGCAGAGAAATAGCAAAATCGGAGCTGGTGCGTTTTGTTTCCAGATAAACAAGCGTTGTGGCCTTCCTGATTTCCCAGTTTGTTTCTGCTCTTGAAGAACATGATGGCTATTTGTTGTTTCCCCTCCCTCGGCTTTCCTAGATGCTGAGTCGCTGCTACTTACCAAATGAGAGCTGTTTCTCAAGTGGACAGTGGTTTTCACCTTGCTTTAGCTGGAGAGCAACCGAGTGCTTCGTGAGTGCTCCTTCTGTAGTTAAAAGTTGGAGATGTGGTATTTATCGCTTCTTTATCAAGAACTCCCACAGAAGACTGCTAGGCACTGCTAACTGGAGTTTTTATCATTGAAAATCAGCATGTAGGCATTTACAGAGTTAGAAATGGGGAACACATGCTTGTTGAACATTCAGGTTTTTTTCTCCCTGTTTTTTAAAGTACTGGTTTGCTTCAGCTTTAGCTTGATTAGTGTAACACTGCTGCGCAGGCTGTGTTCCTAGAGCAGAGATCTGGGTAGAGGCTCTTGACACATGAATATATTACTTGATGGCAAAAAACTGTTGTTTAAACAGTACTATTAGTGATGCGTTCAGTTTCTATTTTTCCAAGAGTACTGGGAAGGAAAAGTCCCTTGAGTTTGCCATGAGTAAATTGGAGAGAGAACTGCAAAGTTATTCCCAACTTTTTAAAGTATTTTTTTGAGTCTTGGTAACGGTAACTTTGAATTTTGAGGAAAGACAAAGGGTTCCTTAGAGGTAGAGTTTATTGGAGTCAGCTCTGACAATGAACTTCACAGAAAGTAAAACTTCTTTTTTTTTTTTTAATCTTTGTTGTTAGCTGCTTGTAGCTTTCATTGGTGGTGTTAGGTTAATGGTTGGACTCAACAATCTCAGGGGTCTTCTCCAACCTAAATGATTCTATGATTCATTGAATTATCGGCTGTAGAAATATATGGTTTTACCTAAAGTCTGTGTTTAATGTCGTTGAAGCACATCGCTTCAATTGTAGTGTTAGCGCGGTGTTTAATTCCTGTTTTGGAATGCCTGCTGTCAAAAGATTTGCCCTCGGCTGGCAGCTGGTCTCGCACTTGCAAGGTACTGAGACACTTCTCATCCTTCTAATGAGCTGGCTGAAGAAGCTAAGCCAGCAGAAAACTTAATTCCTTTTTGGTGGGATTAGTTTTTTACTAATTTAGTTACTTGGTGTCATTATGTCGTGACGCGAGGGATGGTGTGGGAATAATGGAAGCAGCAGAAATGTCGGCATGGCAAAAGACAGCGAGGAGGCTCCTTCCTTTTTCTGTGCAAACCGGCAATGGCGTAAGCTCAGCTGTGTCGCCAACCCAGGCCTTCAAACTTCAGTTGTCTTTGTGTGCGTGTTACTGCCTGGTTAGGCAGTTGAGTTCCTGCCGTTCCCCTGTCGGAGACTTCTTTCTTGACGACTTTGATGAAATGTCTGCTTGTCATGGTAAACTAGCGTACGCTTTCAAAAAGTAGGTGATCAAATTTGCATAGGATGAAATGGAAATAAATTGTAGTCAGTAATGCATGAGTGCTGCCACCTTGTCAGTTCGGTTGGAGGTAGAGGGCTGCGCAGCTGAGTTAATGCTGTTGCCTGGTTTTTATTTCAGAAAGAACAAGTCTGCCTCAGGTGAGCAGAGCTGTGCAGACCAGGCTGTAAGATGTCTGAGCTTGGAACTGCATTTGAAAAAAAACTTTTGCTGCTAATATTCTGGGGGGACACATATTGGGGGACACATAACTGATGGGTGTAACTGATGGGTTGAGCGATTGGCCCTTTTAAATGTTCTTCAATGCTTCCTTCTCAGTATAGAAGCATTAGTTGGGAATGAAACACCCCCCCCCCAACCCATACGAAGAAAGGCATTGTTCAGTGTGAAAGTTGTGTTTACTACATCGCAGTGATGTCCGGTTTTAATTGCTTCCTAATTGTTTGCTTTTATGCCACAATTGTTTTCCCTTGTTTGTCCTTCTCTCTTTGTGTTTGCAATGTAAGCGAACCTATGCAATTAGCTATTTACATTTGTCAGATGAGAATAGTGGTGGAACAAGGATCACTTTCAGGGGATTTGTGCAGGCGTGAAGTGGCTTGGTTTTTATTCTTGAAAAAGTGCCAAAAGCATTTGATAATTTTCTGTCACGTCTTTGGATTTAGGACCTCTTCATGACAATAGACAACCAGGGGTCACAGTTACGTCTTACGCTGTATGTGTCCCGAGCGATACATAGTCTTTTATTATCTTGTTTGAAAAAAGGATAAAATATTAGAAGCGTTTGTCTGCAGAGGGGTGACTTAAGAGTTGCAAGTCTGGTAATGGGTTTTCGTGCTGACAGAATGAAGCTGCTTGATTTTCTTAGAGAAGTAAATAGCTTCATTTAATTATGCCACTTGAAGTCTTCCATAGTAAGCAGTAAGAAAGATATTGCTGCCAAAGCTATCAATAAGCCTTTGACCCACAAATCAACCTAAACCGCAGGATATGCTTTGCGATGCTTTTAGTATTTGTAAACTAAGCCACTTCCGATTAGCGTAGAGCTACAATGAACTTGCTGTTTGGTTTTTTCTTTTCTTTATTTATTTTTTTGAAGCAGAGAGAGAGGGAGATTGTGGGTTATGTATTCAAATGCTGCAGAATCTGTTTCCAGCTATACCAGAATATAACTTAATTGCTTTTCACAGATATTGTAAAATCTTTCTAGCCTGTAAATTTCAGGAGGTGGGATTCTGAGGATCCAGTGCTTTGCTTTGTGGTCTCTGTGTGTGTTGCTTTTTTAAACACAATGTCTCCTTCCCTTTCCCTTTTGTAGCTCTTATGTGGCACTGGTGTAATGTTGGCTGTCGGTATTGGAACTTCATCTGCTGCCTGATGTGCGAATGTTACTGGAGAGGGGTTGTGATGGAGGTATTTGTACTGGTGAGAAGGACCATGCTGTACTGTAGGAGGGTTGACATAGGTAAATGGCACTGAAAGCGTTTTGGGAGGAAAAAATGGAAAAGTCCTTTCTGGAGTCTCTATGAGACACCTGAGGGCAAGAAAATTAGTTTCCTTTGAGTTGTCAGGGGGCTCTCTTCCAGAGGAAGACATCTGTTGTATTTACCTCTTCTGGAAGGAAATACACTGATTTCTAAAATTGGGCAGGGTGCTATAAATTTCTCTCCAGAGTTACAGTACATTCTGACTAGGTTCTCTAAACCCATGTATGGGCAGCTTTTCTGGATCAGTTTAAAGCAGATCATAAATAAGCAACAACAAAGTTCATTTTATAATTTTTCAAACAATTTCCCAGAGCCAGCGTGGTGGTTAGTCTGCGTCTGGATCTGACACATGCTTTCTCAGGGCACTGCTGCCTGGGTCAATATTTTGGGGAAGGGATTTGAAAGAAGGGAATGAGAGCTGGGGATTGGCTGTCTGGAGAGGCATGTGTCCATGTATGGTTCTTTGATTAAAAAGTTTGAAATGATTTCTTAGTTAGCTTAGTAGGTGTGTGCCTGCCGGGACCTGATACCCAGTTCGTGCAGTGTAGTAAAATGTGTTGCGCTTCTCAGATGTGTTCTGCTGAATTCAAGTCTTTGCTTCCCATTTCAAATATGTAGTCTGAGTCAGCAGACAGTAAATTCATGCGTAAAAGATGGTAATCTTGTGTTAATAAAAAGACAGTCCCCCGCTGTGAATTCATGAAGGTGACAGTGGTTTTTTCCTTGCAAATGTGCTTTGAAACTTTTAAAAGCAGTGCTTGGAAGTGAATTCATTCACTCTTCTCTTGCGTTTTTCTGTTTTTCTTCAGGAGAAAGCTAAGGGTAAAGGATAAGGTGCGTCCGCTCTGATATAACTTGCAAATGTAAATGGTCTTCCTTCCTTTGTTCTGTCTTTTCTAGTTCATCTTGAAAGCCAATTGTGGCCTTAGCTTCTTGTCCCAACTCTGCTTTATTGTGAAGACACTTCTCTCTTGTTCAGCCTCTACTCTCTTCCTTCTCCGGTTCACAGCTGTTCCTTGGCAGGAACCCATTCCTTTTGTTACTCCTACATACCTCCTGTGATCCTACCCATATTTCAGTTGAGTTGTATTTGAAGTTTGCTTCTGTTCCACGTACTTGGGGTTTTTTTGATTGTCTGTCGTTGCACTTCATCTTTAAATTTGGTAGCTTACCTCCAGAGTTAATTGCTTGTGTCCTAGAGATAGGAGCGCTCTTGACGTGCACTCTTGACGTACAAAGTCTTAATCCCTTACTCAGTGAAGAAGAACATCTTGCAGATAAGAACTCATAATGCGTGGATTTGTTATCTTTATCACAAGTCTAATTCCTTTCCTTATGACAAAGAGAATAAATAAGCTTAAGTAAGCTTTGGTAAATTCCTCTTTTGCTAAAAACTGAGACATCTGATTTTTGATGTAGAAATACTTTCAACATAAATGATGATTGGGTGGGTTTCCTATGTTGAGCTTAATAAAATAACCCATATTTTGTTTTGCTAGCTGGTATTTTAATTGTATTTTTACCAACCTCAGTAGCACAGTCCTGGTTATGCTTGAATGGATTAATTGTTTTAGGGGCTCGCTGAGTCTTCTAGATTCAGGAATCAAGATGGCATTACTGTGTCTTTTACGTGTCATACTTTGTGGCAACAAAATACTGTTTTCTCTAATGCTGAAGTGTAACTTTAACAAAAAATCAAGTGTCTCCAATGTGCTATTATTAATTTCTGTGGTTGACAGGTCGTCTTGAAATTTCTTGCTGCAACTTGAGTAGAAAAGAAGAGAAAGTCTGTATTTTTAAATTCACCATAAGAATGGTTAAACTGACTGTGGAGTCAGCTGTCAAATACACAAGCTTAAATAATTCCGAAATAAATTTTCTCCTGTGTATGTAGGAGCTGTTTTTCCCCCTCAGATGCTTCAGACATGTGGATTTTCGTGATCTGATACTTTGCAAGATAGAAGCAAATTTTATTGGAGATAGTTATACACAGCACATCCAAGATTGTATTAAATATGGGGGGGGTCTAAGAAATCCTTGGTGATGAGATAACGCAGTGTATTTTTGGAAAGCTGTTAGATTATTCATTACTGCCTCCTGTCCATTTCTTCTTCCTGTTGTTCCCTGTGGTGTTTCTTGCCTCTAATGATTGTTTTGTTATTTCCTGAGTTCAAACCCCATTGTACCTATTAATCAAAGTGTAAGTGTAATCTTTTGTATATGCTTTGAGGTTTTCTGTTGGGAAGTTGTCGAGTATTTCTGATTTGCTGTGTTCACATCATCAGCCTGTTTTGCAAAGGGGTTACAATAATAAAGCCTTTTACAAAGTCCTAAAATGACTCCTCCCCCATTCAAATTTAGTTAAGTTTCTCCTTGTTTAACTATGCCTTTTTCCTCAACGTGTTAACAGATTGTTCTTTTTATTGGGTTTAAAAGGATTGAAGACTGTCTTAAATTGTTCAGCTATTTTTTTTTTTAAATGCCCTGCTGTGATTTCTTAGGTTGTATAACTAGATTTGCTTTAGTCATTCATAAAGCATTGGTTTTCAAAACCACTGATCAACATTTTGGGAAACCATCCATGTTGTGAGGCATGTTCTCCAAGCGCTATATTTGGTGCATAAGTAAGGATCTAATTTGATTCTAGAGCCAAGCTTTTATTGCTGCAATTTATCATCCTCAGCGGCTTGTAGATCACTTTTTGTAAAGCTCCGCTTCGCACTTTCTTAAATGTATTTAAAGGGTGTGACTAGTACTGGCAGATACGGTTTAGGATGTAGAGGGCGTGAACAATGGAAGGACTTAAAGAGAATGGAGCTGAATATAAGGAAATCTCTGTAGCAGGAGGAGCAGTTTGCTATGGAAAGTAGAGACACCTTTGTCCTTAGTTTACTGAATCAAAAAAGTACTACAGTAAACACATCATAGGTAGGCAAATACTGTTTTTGAATCACCTGCTTTATTTCTTGGACACTCCTGCTCCACAGGCTGGGTGATGGTCTTTGGGACTGGTGGTGCGGGAGGTTGCCCCAGGCAAGCTGCAGCTCTCCAGCTGCTTCGTGGTATTTTCAGTTCCTCGTTGAAAATCTTCAACTCCTTCAGGCCTGCTGAAATGGTTTAGTAAACCTTCTTTCTTGATTAACATTTCCAGTATCTTTTCTTTCAACACAATCAGATAAGTTATTGAAAGAAATAATCCAGGCTTGTAGCTTTACATATTGTCTTGTATTTCTTGTATAATTTGCTTAGTCGCATTGGTAACGATACTCTCTAGTTTTGGTTTCTGATCATCTGCGAGTGCTCCTATTCTGTGGTTGTTTTGTTTCCTTCTCTTGTTGGTATGTACTTTGACTGCCAGGCTGGGACTTAAATGTTACTGCTTCCCTCTTAAAAAGAAAAAAAATAAATAATTATTCAGTCCCCTTGTGTCTGCATGACGTTTGAGTTGTCTAATGCTGCTTTTCATGTTTCCATGCGTCTGCGTAACGTGTGCTGTCTCATTCTCACTCCCACATGTATTACCAAGCATTTTTCCTCTGTGTAATTGTTTTCCTTTAGAAAGTAACATTTTCCTGGAAACATCCAAGTGACAGGTTTTAAGGACTTGTCAAAAATATGCAAATGTTCTTCTTCCTGCGTTTGCTCTTGGGTATGTGTCCTCATGATGGTTATGACAAATCAGAGGGAGACTGACTGAGATGGTTTGGACTGCAGACTTCACAGGGTTGAGTCTTTCCGCAGGTTTCGATGAGTATGGACCGCGTAGGTATACTTTTGTTCACAAATGTCAGATAATCTTCTGTCACAGGCATTTGAGTTTATTCTTGAATTTGCCTGCCACTGGGCAGAACTGTATTCTCTGTGGCGTGAGTTCTCCTCCAGCAGTCCTTGCTGCGGGGTACCCATGGCATCTTTTCAGCAACCTTTCCGCTTCTTTCAGGAGCCTGCTATTTACAGCTTGATTGAGTCCTCTTTCTTCAAAGGAAAATGCGCCATACCCTCATGTACAGCAGGAAAAAAGTCTTCAGATGGCTTGCTAGTGCCAAGTTTTATGTATGGGAAAGGGTAGGTTTTATAAAAGAAGTGTAGTTCTTATGTCTACTGAATGATTTGTTAGTACGTTCATGCAGTAAACTGTGGTTTGAACCTTTGTGGAGTCTAAACTTTGAAGCAAACTGGGTGAAGCTCGAACTTCTGCTTGAATTCAAGCTGTGCCCTGCCTTTTAAGTGAACTAATGCTAATTGACAGAAACAAGGGTTTCCTGGGAGAAGAGGAGAACATTAGTGAGAAAATAGTGCTATTTAGTTTGCACAGAGCTTAATTAGTGACCTAAATGGTAAAGGTACTGAACTTCAACTCAGTGGTGCATAGGAAAAAACAAAGCAGTTGGAGAGGAAGGAATACTTTGTGTTTACCTTCTTCAAAGCTGCTAGTAGCCTGCTCTTTTAAAGACGTAGTACAGGAATATTAGGATATTAGAGTGTGCAGAAATACATCTGGGTTTGGTTATGCCTTATAGTTCCATGATACACAGGCGTATACGTACACAGTAAACGTTAGTATTAAAATAGTCGAGGAACTTGGATCTGGTTGAAAGAACCCAACAAAACAGCAAACACCAGTCCTCAGCTTTCTTAAAAAATCTACCTTCTGTTCGTAATAAGGCAGAAACGTGAGTAAAGGCGGAGTTGTGTGTGCCTCGGGGTAGTCCGTGGATACCTGGGGGAGCGTGCAGCGAAACATTCTGGACAATCTCGATTCCGATCATGTAAGAGGATTTCAAATGGTATGTCAGAGGAGAACCTTTGGAGGTACTCAGGTCTCTGCTGAAAGCCCTTTTCTTCCAACTGGAGTGAAAACTTGTTTCATGTGATGTTGAGCGGTCTTAAAACTCTTGAAAAAGTCTATGCAGAAACTTGAGGGCAGCAATGCAGTGACCCTCAAAACATGCAGAGTGAGCATTTTGGGAGGCTGCGGATTTTATATCGTGGACGTGTTCAGGTTCCTCTGCGTGTCTGCCTGCTTGTTTCTGCAAGGCAGTGAGACATGCTTGGCTGAATGTGTACTTTTTTTTTGGTTTTCAACTGAGTTTTTCTCTTGTATACTGCTTTTTGTGTCTCTGGCCTGTCCCTCTCCTTGCGTTGCCCGGCCCTGCAGTTAGTCCTACAGAGGACAACGCTTGAGAAGTTGAGTCACTTCCGCAACTGTTGGCTGCTCTGGGAATTAGTTTAATTGTGTTTTTGAGTGCACAGAGAGAGCTGTGGTAGTACCCAGTGAGAGCAACTGTGACTTGCTTTGTTTATTTTGAGGATTTTCCAGGAGATGAAAGTGTGTTAAATTAACATGTTATAAACGAAACAAGCGAATTTATTTTGTGTGTGCGCATAGCAAACTGATGATGATTTCCTGGTTACGGGATGGTGTTCTGGACGCTTCCTTGTTCCTTGTGTTAGGAATTGTGATTACTTGAGAGAAGGGTGGCATCCAACTGGGTGAACAGCAGGAACACCATTGCCACCTACATGGGTGGGGTTGTAGTAGACACGAGTGTTGTAGCATAACACCTCCCCCTTGTTTACAGGCACATTCTGAGCTTGCAGACAGAAAAACGGAGGCGGAGCGATGTGGGGAAGCGTAGGTGCCTGGTGCAGCTAGAAAATGGTCTGTGGCGACCTAACATCTTTGTGGATTTGACACCAAGTGATCTGCTGAAGGGCAAGCGAGGCCGTGTGTGAGGGGAAGAGTTAAATGGCCAGTTGCCAAGGGCCAGCGCCGTGTCCCCTGGTCATAGCTCAGCCAGCAAAAGTTTATCTTCAGCTGCGTTCTGGTGCACGTGAGAGCACCTGACTTCTGCTGGACGAATCCCGCATCTGCTTGATTTCACCGACTTTAAAATGTGTATGCATAGAAGAAAAAAAATATATTTTAAGAATGTGGACGGGTACGTGTTATGACAGCTTGCAACACTGGGTGGTGATGGCTGGGACAAGCAAAAGCAAAATCATTCCTTAAGGCTACCTTAAACGACTTTCTCCTTACTGGATGTGAATCATCTGATAAACTCCTGCTCTTCTAACATGTAGTGTCTTGTGTATAATGGTACCTGTATTTTTTTAAGAGCCGTCGAGGAGATGATGACTTTTCATCTGCCGCCTCTCATCCCATCCTGTGTGGAACTTCAATCTAGGAAGACGGCTGTTTATCCGAGAAGGGGGAGCTAGATTTTAGTCCCTGCCTTGATGGGTAGAGAATTAAAAATCTCGTAAAAATACTGATTTCACTGTCAGTACTTTGGTAGGAGAAGGTGCTATTTCAAATCAGTTATGATGGTAACAGTAACTATACCATTTGAAAAGCATGTTCAGCTTGAAAAGTGCACAGAAAATTGAAGTAAACCCATGATGTAGCAAAGAAAAAGGGTGAGATGAAGAAAGATGGATAACAGTGTTTCACCAGGAAAAAAAAAAAAGAAGTAGGATTTGCAGTTTTGTCTGGATTTGTATTTATTCCATCTCCAGACATCTGAAGAAGTTCTTTTAGGAATAACCTGTGTTGTATTGCCATCCTCGTCAGTTCCACGTGATGAAACATTGTTTGGAATTCCCCTGGTCTATGATACTTCATTTTTAGATGAGGAAACTTTTTGATTCATATTTGCTGGTGGCTTTTTTTTTTTGTGGGAAGTGTGATGTTCAATACTAAAAAGAATGGTGCGTAAAACTAAGCTGTTTCCTTCCTTTCTCTTCTGAAAGGACCCCCTGCCTTTTGTGCAACGTTGTGTTTTTTATCTGTTACCTTGGGGTTTATTTTTTTTGTTTTTAAATCTGAGTTTCTTGTTAAGCTGCTAAGCTCCAAGGACCTGGGGCTTTTTGGGGGAAGGAAAAAACACCTGAGAGCTTTGCAGTGCTCAGTGCCTGCCTCCCCCCGGAGAGGCCTTTGGCCTGAGCAAGAGCTGCTGGCTTTGCAGAGAAATGTCTGGAAGTCTAATTGGGACTTTGGCAGAATCGAGTACTGACTCCTGAAGATGCTCCACACAGCTTTGCTGATGACAGCGCTGCAGAAGGGGCACGCTGAAATCTGGAAAGAAGTAACTTGGCTCCGAGTCCTTGGGTTATAAAGCCTGGCACCGGTCTCTGGTAGCCTTGGCAACTGGCTGCGGCTTGGGCAGGCAATAGGTGAGTTCATCACACAAAGACATTCCTTGTAAAGTGGAGGCCTCTTGGTTACCAAGTGTAGCCTTAGCTTTGGGAAGAATAATTTCTTAGGTGCACTGACTTCCACAGCTTTTTAACTGATGTTTCTGATTTCAGTGGCTGGGTGTAGCAGAGAATTGAGGTTATTCTTATATCCCATGCTAGCTGCCCTGGGGAACTTGAGCTGTGTGTCACTGATGTAAATATTTTCAGTTATTGTTTCCTGCAATAGAGTGTGTAAACAATGTACAACATGTATTCTGTTTCTGTAGGAATGACTATTGCCATTTTTTAAGTCAGTGCCACTGATTCTTCCTTTAAAAAACAAACAAACAAAGAAACAAAACACAACAAAAACCCTGGGTCTGGAATTGCTTTCTAACCACTGTGTTTCCTTTTGGGAGAGCAGCTATGTTGTGTAAGGAGTTGGCAGCTCTTAACTCTTTCCCAGACAGGCTGTTTCAGTTTGCTTAGTGATGTTGCCAGAATCTGTGTTTCCCTCCATGTTAAGAGAATTATGCCTTTTACAGCTTAATCTTTGTGAAGGTTATTTTTGTTAGATGGGAGGGCTCTTCAAAAGCGTGTTGCTTTTATTGGTGTTCAGAGTAATACAGTGGCTGCGTCTGAAAAATTTACACAGGGGAGCATTTCTCGAGGTGAGAGCTATCAGCTTGTGCACTTATGAGACTTATGAGTCTCTACTTACCCATATGTGTGCTGGCTTCTAACTCTCAGACTGTGTTGAACAGCCTTCAAATACCTCTTAATGTCGAGTTGCAAACCAGTATTGTGCTGTCCTGGAGCACTTCAGTCTTCTGAACTCGAGCGGGCTGGGCTGACAGCACCATGTCTCATTCCAACCATTAGCCCTCTCTGTTCAAGGGATCTCGTAGGCATCTTCATGGGAAGGAATATCGAGGAGTAGAACAGCATTGGCAAAATTGTCTATAGCTCTTGAATAGCTGGACTCTGTTTTTTCTCATTCTGCCCCAGAGCCTGGCAGAAGCGCTCGTTTCTCTGGCCCGTTGCACCTGTAACCTCTAAGTGTGGGACTGAAGCTGCTTTGGTCGTCTTTCTCTGTCCTAAGTTGGTTACTTTATTTGTCTTTAGACCTGCTGCATGGTGGTATGTTCAAAGGAACGCAAGGTTGTGGTATGCTTGCTTCCTGAATTCTTACATTGGATTTGTTATCAGCAAACTGAAGTGAACTGACTGAGACAGGTTTTTTTAATGAGTGGGAATTTGACTGGAAAATAATTGACTTTTCGGTATTGTAAGAGCTGAAGAAAGTAATGCCTGGCTCACACGCATGGCTCTTCAGAACAAAAATGTTGTGACTACTCAGTTTTATAAATAGAAATGCTCAAGTTAGAGCTTGTCAGTGCAGATTTTGAACAAGCACAACTTAATTTTACCTGCTGTCCTTCTCATGCTGTGATTGTCACAGGGAAAACGTGTTTCAATGCTGCAACCATTGATTTGATTTCCAAAAAGTAGCCTGAGCTTTTATTTTAATTTTTGTGTTGATGTGTTGGCTATTGGAAACCAACATCATACTCTGATGTGTCTATTCTTAGCAGGATGTTATCATTTGAAGCCCCATGTTATTGTCTGAAGGCTTGAAATGTTTGCTTTTCTGGAATTTGGTTCTCTTCTTACAGTGTTTCTCTGTATCGGGGTTTAAAAAGAGCCGCAGCAGGAGAAAGGAGACAAGGAGGTAAGGAACTAAGACTTGGCGACTTCGCCGATAAATTAATTCATTGGCCTTCGGCACTGGGTTGCTGCCTCACTTTCCCTGTGTCTAACAAGACGCTAACGATGCCTCCTTCAAAGATACTTTGTGAGGATTAATTAACGCTCGCAAAGGCCTTTGAAGATGAAAAAGCACAAGTTGAAATATAAAAAGTTTGCATGCCCTAGGTAAATGTTCTGTGGGTTGTCTTGAGTTTGGCTTGTTCAGAATCTCTTGAGCACTTCCAGATATTTTGAAGGGCTTATTTCAGTTGGACCATGGTGGTGATGGGTTTTGGGGAGGCACTGAGTGGTACAGCTATACTTGCAGAGGTTATTTACTCCCACGTTCCCCCAAGGGAAGAAAGATGAATGCCACAACTCAGCAATGTGTACCAGTCAGAAGAATATGGGTGGCAGGTGTATCCTGAAAACCGTGCCACTGCGGTGTTTGCTATTTATTTTTCCCCAGGGCAAGTTTCTGTCCTTTCCAGTGTTTGCTAAAACGGTCTGCTGATGAGCCCTGTATGAAATGGTGTAAGGTAGTTGCAGCACTGTGTTCTTGAGCTTACAGATAGCCTGAAACAGACTGGAGGAGCAGTGCTGTCTGTACTTTCCATGGAAATTGAATGCTTGGGATAATTTGAAATAAAATATTAATTTCCTGTAAAACATGTCAGTTTGCTATGTGATGTGCAAGTAGGTGTGAAGGGGGGGGTAAAGGTTTTCAGACTCTCACGTCTTCTCCAGGGTGAGGTCTCCTCTTTTACTTCTTCCATTTTGCCAATGGCACAGTAATCACGTACTATATAAGTACTGCATTAGTTTAAGATCCTGTAATGAATTGTTAGTGGATTACGGGATAACTCGCTCTGGTCTTTTTCACTGAAGAGGAATTTGAGGAAGACTTTGGAGCACTGTCAGTGTTTCAGTGGTTTAGGTTGCGGTGCTGCAGCAAAACGGATCGGTTGGCAGCCTGGGTAGAGGCAGGATTTGGGCTTTGATCTGCAGTTGTGTGGTTGATTGTGAAGATGGTAGATTCAGGGCAAGGTTTTTTGCTTGTCAGTTTGAGCCGTGTTAGACACAACAGTTGTTAAGAGCTTGAGGTTAGTTCTGTGGTAAGAACAAGCTGTGAAGTCTTAAGTTTTATGCATAAGGAGCCTCAACTTTTCTGTTTTAATTCAAGTTTCCCTGGATATGCAGCAGACTTGATAGATAAAATGCTCAGTTGAAAGACTCCAGTGTACAAATAGTTGGGGAGCTCTAAACCAGGCCGGCCAAAGTGCTTCTCTTAAGAGTTGGAGGGTTTAAGTGGCCCCTTTCCTGCGGGTTAACAAGAAGTGCTTCAAGAGTTTAGGGTGGATATTTATCTGCTTTGATTGTAAAAGATCTGCCAGTGCTGTGTTTGAAGCTGAAGTGGGCTGTCGAGGCAGCTCGGTATGTGTGGTTGTAAACAGGATGCCTGAAAACTTTCCTTTCTTCTGGAAACATCATCTTGCCAACCTAAGACAGAACCGCCTGCAGAATCCGCATCGTTAAAAAGCATCCCTGTCAGCAGATGAGTAGATAAAAATTACAGCTTTGGAGAAAATTTGGTGTTGCGTACAAGCAAGTTGTGACGTCTCTGTGAGGCCAAGCAGCATGTGGGCTTCTGACAGTGGGAAGAGCTTTGTGTGGCTCGGAGGTGTTGGCTTCCTCGCCAGGCTTCCAGACTCATCCGGCTCAGGGAGGCAATTGCTTTAAACAAGTTTCCTCATTTAGCAAGAGGTGGAATTGCATCTGGCACTGCTGTAGCTGTGCTTACCTATAAAAATAGAAGGGCATAATTTGCGAGAAATGTTGGATGTAGGAGTGAAAGGAGCAAAACGTCCTTGGAATTGCAAGATTTTTCTGAGGAGGCAGTTCTTCTTGGAAGACCAGAAATTGGTTGTGACAAATAGTGGGGATGATGCGATATATTCCCCATTCCACGACCTTTTCATGTCCAAGCAGAAGGGGATCTTCGGTGTGGCATTTCTGAGTGTTTCTCTGTCCCCTTTCACTTCCACATTAATGTTATGCTTCAAAATTGAGAGTTCAGAGACTTTTAACAGGGAAAGGCAGGTGCTGCCTAGTAGCTTGGAGCGTTTTAAAATCTCAGGAGAAATGGCTCACAGATATAGATAATTCTATTATGGAATGTAGCTGAAAAGAAAACGTCGTACTTGATCAAGACGCCCATTATTGTGTGTACTGTTGGCCACCAGAGAGAAGTCTTTAAAGTTACTTTTTTCCTTGAATGCTCAAGGAGTTGAGGAAGGAGACTTGGAGCAAGAAGACTTTACAAATCTGTGACGTGTAACTGATAGATATATAGGAAAAAAAATTATTTGTTTGTTTTGTTTTTTTAAAATGCTTTTTAGCTCAGTGTAATGTAGGATAACAGAAATAAGACGCTGCTGTGCTCACAGCTTAGGGAAGAAGCAGGATTACTTAGTAAGGTAACCGTGCCTGGGTAGTTAACTGATGGTGCTAAGGCATAAATAAATGAGGATGTTTTTTCCTTAAATAATAGGAGAGCTTCTGAACTAATCAGGTAGTTGAAATAATGTTTACAGCAACATTCTACAACTAGACTTCCCAAGAGCAAATGTGTCCTATAAGGGTTTTGGCTTAGAGAAGCTGTATTCAGTTGTTGAGTCCCTAAACTTTTGTTTGTGTCAAGGAGCGTATGACCGGGCATGCAGTTAAATGGTTTCACATACGGGGAACTGCATAAATGCATGGGATTCTGATAATCTATTGCCAAAATTGCAGATATTTCCATACCACGCGACGACTAGCAGCCTGCATTTATCCTAATTGCTTTTCCTTTTGGATGCCTGCCTGCCTTTCGTGTGAGACCATTTCCTGCTCTCTTAGACGCCTGTGCTGAATTTGAGACGTGGTGACGGGAAAGGTAGTGGAGGCAAATACAGAATGGCTTATTTAGAGTAGTTGGTGAGACCGAATCATTGTGTACCCACTTGTTAGAGCTTTTGCCAGCTTATGGGAAGAACCCCCCTGTTTCTGGGAACAGCGTAGCTGGGACTAGGTGAGGCGTAATGACTTTCCAGTGTGGTGTGCATCCTCTGCTTCCTTGACCATAGAATATTTCTTCTGAGTATTCAACAGATCTGCAGTGACTTGGTTCGTTATCTGGCAAGTTCCCAGGCTGGGGTAGACACGGTGTGAATTCCTACCCAGTATTTTCTCTAACTGAACTATTTTATTTGAGGGAGTTCCTTTGCTGTGCTTTCCTTGTGCCTTGTTCTCGAACCCTCATGCCTTCTGTTGGCTTACCCTTTTTGCTAAAATCCAAAGTTAATTGGTTCAGTTATTTCATAACCTTTTTCCAGTTACTGCTTCATACGTTTCTATACCATCCTCTCCTCCCAAACAGAGATTTTCTGCTGAAGGTGTGAGTGGGGTACTGCCCTTTGTGATCTGAATCCTTTCGGTAAGTCCGGATAGAGCTTTCCTCCTCGCGCTCGGGGAGCTCCACGCACCCAGTAGTAGTCTCTATAATGAGCTTGTAGGTCTTCCCGTGGGCAACTGCACCAGACCAGTTACAGCAGTTAAGCTTTTCAGTCTTCCTTATTGTATGAAAATGACAGTATTGCGAAAGAGAAACCGATGCATGTTAGGTTTTGAAACATGGTGAAAGGAGGATGTAGGCTTCAGGAATTGGGGACTCTATGTTGGTACACAGGGGGAAGGAATCTTTTCTTTTCCTTTCGCATTTGTAATGAATGAATGACCTGAGCTCTGGAGCGGTGATAAGTCTGTGGAAATCTTTTGGTCCGCTTTTCATGAAAGCGTTAGGAGTTGGTTTCCCTTACCGTCTAGTTATGATGGAGTGAGAACAAAATCTTGCAAGCAAGTGAAGTGCTGTGCTTGTGTTCAGCATGAGCTGTTTCTCTTCTGCTTACACTGCTGCCCGTGGAAAGATAGCGATACCTGTCTCTCTTGCTCTTCAGTTGTTGTCACCATTACCTTGCGTCAGCCCTGTCCGTACAGCCAGACACCAAAGCAGTTGTCAGATGTTTTAAGTTGCGTTTTTACCCACTGTGTTGGCATAGTGGCTATAGAGTGGATACGTTCTTGAAGAGAAAAACTTGGGTCTTGTAAGTAGTCAGTTAGAAGATTTAGTTTTTTGCTTGGTGTGTTTTGTGAGGTTGTTTTTTTTTCAATTGCTTTTTCTTCAGTGTTGGTTTGAACCTGGCCTGGCAGCACACGCAGGTGGCTGGAGGGGTGGGAGGTGAAGGGAACTCCCTGAGCCACAGAAGCTTCTCACTCCCACTGGGAGGCAATTATTTTATTTAAGATTTGAATCTGGTATCGTTGCTTAGGATGAAATGCAAATTTAGGTGCATGTTAGAAGTGTCCTGTAACAGACTATATCAGAGCCGTACGTTTCCTCTTCCTATTTCTGGCTCTTAGTTACATTTTGTAGGTGATTGCATTAATACTGTTCTGGTGTCTGTGTGAATGTACATGCCCTCTTAGTCTGTGTCATCCCCCAATCCCTGTTAGTCCAGCCAAGTGGTTCTTTGCGAGGGTTACAAATCAGGATTACTCTGGAGGCCTGTGGGAGGGGGAGGATGCTGCTGCTCCGTTGTTAATAGTCAGAGGAGGACCGGGACCATGTAAATCGCTAACCAGCCAGACTCGTGGGATCTCTTCAATACTAAAGATGCGCCTGCAAAGACGTTGTTACCTGCCCAAGAGTATTTGGGCAACTCTATTTTCCTTTTCCACTGCTCTTGTTCAGGTCTAAACTGAGACTTAATGAACTGTTAGGCGGTTCTGTCACATGCTTGGCAAATGACATGTTCTCGATCACCTGTCATTGTGCTTTGGAAAGAAAAATTATTGTTGTGTTCTTTGGTGCGCATTGTATCTCTGCTAGAGCTGTTGACGTTCAGGATTGTAGAAAAAAATGACCTTAGTTAATTTTCTGTTGATGGCTATGGTGTGGTGGGGAAAATGAGATGTAGAATTAAGTTTCTTAGAGTGCTTCTGTGCGACAGTACAGCTACACTACCGTTGCCCCAAAGATAAGCTACCACCCTTGCGTGTTCAAGCATGCAGTTTAAATATTTAGTGAGCCGGGGAGAACCCTTACAACCTACTAACAAAAATTTCTGTTTGGTCTTGTAAAGAGACGGTGAGAAATTGGCCAAGTCTTTTATATAAAGAAATGAGAACTGGATAATATTTGTAATGAAAATTCTGCTGACTGGGTTTCACATCTTTCCACTCTTATTCATTGGAATTCAGAGCTCAGTTTTCTGACAGAAATCTTTTCTCAGCTTATACACTGAAACATTCACAAATATTGGCTTATTTGACAGTTATCTGCAAATATTTAACTTTACCTGTCATGCTTCTGACATGTGAGGGGTTAACTGCCAGGCTCCCTGCCATCATTTAAAATTCAAATGTCTAAACTTCGTTCTAAGTCAGTCCATGTTTTTAAACCAAAATTATAGCTAAGGAAGTGATTTATATGAAAGTTGTAAAAGTTGTCATCCTTATTTCTTGCCTAATTGGCATCTGAAAGGTCTCTATGCTGTGAAACCAGCGGAAAAGATCATAGAAAGTTTGTGGAAAATGTGGAATTTGGTCAGTCTTTAGTGAAAGTGTTACTTTATTTTTGAGCAACTATATTTAAAAAACTTAAATTCCTAAACAATACCAGATACTGAAAAAGGTTGTTTTTTTTTTTTTTTTGTTGGTAGCTAAGATAATATTCTGAATCAATTAGGCCTACAGAAAGTATGCTTTCCTAAATAACAGCAGCTTGTTTTTGAGTAGTTAACAGTAACTACTTAACACATCATACCTGATGTGAAAAGACAGGGGTCTAAACAAGCTGCCTCTACCTTCTTATTCCACTTACGATGCAGGTGTGATGATATTTCATGTCTCATGAAGGTGGGTGTTAGAAGAGGAACATGTTTTATTCTGTTAAATAAATAGTATCTTTAATTACTATGCAAGCTTCATGACTATTCAGAGTAAAGGTTTGTGTGTGGCTGGGCTGCTAGCATTGATATGTGGTTGTCCAAATTCTGAACAGATTTTTGGTCTCATCTTGCGCATGATCCGGTTTGCTGAGGGAGGGAAGTGAGTCTGAGTGTTCCCGATTGTCCGTCTGGCTTAACAGCAGAGTGAGGAGATGAGAAGGCAATGGAGAATCATTTAAACAATCAGTTTAAAACAACAAGTTGAAGTACCTGTTACTTCTGCATCCCAGTTTTTGTTAACTACCTTTTTTCACATGAGAGTATGGGAGTGGGGAAATAATACTTAACGTTAATCCTGTGCTTACGCGCGACTTGTACGCACTTTTCTCTTCCCCTTCCCTTTACACAAGTTCTCTAAACGTTTCCTCTCCCATTCGCAGTGGTAGTCGCTCTTCCAAAACCTTCAAACCAAAGAAGAATATTCCAGAGGGGTCTCACCAGTACGAGCTGCTAAAACATGCCGAAGCCACGCTCGGAAGCGGTAATCTCCGGATGGCTGTTATGCTTCCAGAGGGTGAAGACTTAAATGAATGGGTTGCAGTTAACAGTAAGTTGGCTAACCTTTTTTTCATAAGGGGGGCATTGAACATGCAGTGTCTTTGAAAGCTGACAGATGCAGGGCGACTCACCGAGACAAAAACTCCTTAATCTCCTTGTGCCAAAAATATGTTCCTGTTAACAAAATAATTCTTATTCTTAGTTTGAGGACTTGATCACAAACAAGCACTGGTGTAGAAGTGTCACCGCTGTTTTTAGAAAGTAGCCTGTCAGTGCTGTCTTAATATGTTTATTCTAGCTCTTCTTCAGCTAGGGTTGTTACCCAATGATATCATCAGGCCTCTGCATGCTAACTCTAAAACCTTAATTTCGTTAAGTGTGATGGCCAGGTCTAAAAAACGTTGAAGGCTGAGGTCACGTGTATGGCCTGGATTTCCTTTTGCCTGTAACAAACCCAGAGGTAGATCTTTGTAATTTTCCTAAAGTTAGTTACTTCCTTTTGTTTCTACCGAGTTGTGAGCCTTTGCTCTGGTGAGTCTTTATGTCATTATTTTAACTTCCTCTAAAGCTGTTTGTCCTCGCTCTCTCCTTTCACGCTAGGTCAGGCCAAACAATGATGCCGAAATTAGTGTTTTCTGATTGCTTGACTGTGTTTCCTCCTCCTTCCTCTCCCTACTGCATGAGTTTGCTGCCTGCCTTCTCCTCTTACAGAATGGATTAACCCAAGTCCTGTCACGCTCCATAGCCCACGCAGAGTTTTGGCTGCCGCAAACTGGGTGCCCTGTCTGGGCATCTCCTCTTTTTCCGTGTCTTTGGCTTGGTGTGCTTCTGTGATTGTACAGTATTGATTGTGCAGTGCAGTAGAAGTTATGCTGAAGATAAATGTCTTCTAAGGGTTTATGTGGTTGTGTCTGTTTCTTCTTGCTCTTTGACATGTTTGGGAAGTGAAACCGTCATCCTGACTTCAACCTTCCCGTTCTTAATTAGCCACACTGTGCTCTGGAATATGATTTGCCACTGCTTCCAGGGAATGTTGAAATTGCTGACACCATTCTTTAGTCACCCTATATTGCAAAACTGTCTAGAAAAAAAAAAGCCAGCCCATTTTTATGAGTAAGCATTACTACAGATGCTTCATACATTCCTGGCATCCTTCCTTTTTGGTGGTTCCTCCACTCCATGTCTCTTCTTTCCTGTGTGGCAGCGGTGTTTTTCCCCTCCCAGATGACTTAACTGCTAAATTAGCTGTGTGGCAAAAGGCAGACAAGCACTTAACAAAAGAGCCCGAGCTGCCTTTTGTAACAGCTGCATTCTGTAATGAAATGGGCCTCTCTCATGCCTCCTGCAGCAAAGTGGGGCTGTCATGTTTATTTTTTTGCCTAGAAGTGATTAACTGATTACGCAGTCCCTTCATTTTACTACACCTAGCACCAATTAATGGTAGCTGTGAGCCCCTTCTGTTGATGAAGATATCTAATAAGGAAATAAAATATGTGACTTAATGTCATTGGTTTTGCCCTGCACAGTAGGGAGAGCACAGAACAAATGTCCCCTGCTCTGCTACTTCATGCTCGATTCAGCCTCACTGATGTCTTATGGGAATGAGTTGACTTATATGTAGCTTTTTCACATATGTTTTTGAAATAAAAAAAAATCAAAAGGTGGGAAGTGTACAATCAGTTTGTTTTGAGTGTCATTTGAAATCTCCTTGATTTGAAAATACTACAAAATAATTCCAGAATTACATCTTGCCTCTATCCTTGTAATAGAACACCAGACAGTGTGCACTTCGAGTAGAAAAGCACTTGGAAAAAAGTAAACTAAGCCTTCAAAACTTAGGACCAATGAATAAAAAGAGGAAATGAAAATATGCAAAGACACTGTACCGCTTTACGCATGTTGGAAAGGAGGTTCTTGCGTTCTTGTTTGTCAGACGCTGCTGGCGGTGCTGGATGGGTGGTGTGTCTCATGGCCTTTTGAGACTTGCAAGTGCGGGATTCACAATAATCGGTCATCTTGTCGAAGTCTGGGTGGGTTTTTTGAACATGCTTGCCTTGAAGCAAACATTGGGCTGTGGTTTCTACTGGGAGCAGGGAATGGAAACTTAATTAACAGTTCTTGTGTACACTTAAGAAACAAGGGCTGTTAATAACCACTCCTTGCTGCTTTCAGTGTTAACTGCCTCCTCCCCTTGCCCGAACAAGCTTTAGGGTCCTCCTTATCTTCTGGAACTTTTTTAGCAACTTTTCCTAATGTTGCTTTGCTGTGCAGGGGGAAAAAAAAAAACAAAAAGGTTTTGTTGCTAGAGATGAGCTGTGCTAGGTGCATGCCATACCAGGTTTTTTATCTGCTTCCCTTTTTTGGTACCTGGGAAGTAGCATGACACAGTTGTAATCTGTATCCTGCATCTGCTGAACAATACCTGTAACTTGCTGCCATGAGGTTCCTGTAACCTTTGATTTTTATTTTCTGGAAAAATCAGTGTGGGGAGCTGCAGTATTTAACCCGCCCTTTCCTTCAGCTGTCGGTTACTTGCACAGTACACGGTATCCGCTAGTGCTTCCATTTAGGATGATATTACAGCAAAACTGACTAGCTCTGTAATCGGAGTTAAGCGAGGAACACAAATTTGGGTGGGCTACCCAGTAATGCGCTGGCTTCTCCTTGGCATGGCACGAGTTTGAGAGGAGTGCATTGTTGGTGTTAATTCCACAGTGTCCTGCAAACTGGTTGTATGAGGCTATTCAGTGTTGTAAGTGGTAACTCTTTTTTTAAACTTCTTTTTTTTTTTTTCAATTAATTTTTTAAGTTCGGACAAACATGTCTAACTACTGCAGACACTGGTCACAAGAAAACCTTTCCCTCTTGGTTCAGAGTGAAGAGCTTGCTTTATTGCTTGAACACTAAATTGAATAACGCATGGCTATTTGGTGACACGATTAGACTGTCAGTATTGCTGATAAGGGGGTTTATTTGAGTATTCCCGAAATCTGTCTCCATAAAGAACCAGTTTGTGACTGGCACGTTGAGTTGCAGGTGTGACGCAGGTAGCAGTGAGGTAAAGTAAGTTTTAAGTGATGTTGAGCTCAGGCAGACTGCGCACTGATTTCTCATCCTGAGGACTTGCTCTGCAGATGTGATTCCTGAATGAAGTTTCCAGCTGTAAAGGCTCCTGCTGCCAGAGGTGGCAGGCCCGCTGCTCTTCGCAGAAGAAGCCATATAGCCTGGACTAAGCACTGGGACATTAAATCTTATTTCTATGTTATATATGGTTCCTCTCGGGGTAAAGATGTGTCGGTGGAATAGTTAAGTTTGCAGAGCACGGTGAAAAGAAAGAGTTGAATTCCACCAGACTTGATTTGGGTTTTTCTATGATTGCTGAATTTCATCCATGAATAAAAATGAATCAATAAGGACACCAAAGCTAGTTCAACAAGTCTTAAGTTCCCATGTGCTTGTATTACTTGCGTTCATCCAGAAGCAGAATTTACAGTAACTGTTTCAGGATAAGAGAGAGAGGAATATGTAGTAGAATTGTTATACTGGAATCAAGTCATGCACTTAGTTAGTGTAAGGATTTAACTTAGCCTACTTAAAACTTTATTTCCTTGTGCTTAATATTGGTCACCTTTCAATTTTCACTCATGACATCCGTTGTCTGAAAGACATTTAGAAAAGATAAACTTATCTGTTAATACCTTGGTAATGAGCTGTGCTGCACAACAGATATTAGGGGGAGATGAAGTGGCTTTTATAAACTTATTACAGTGACTCCAGTTCCTAAGAACCATAGCATAACTGCAAAAGGGGAGACGTAGATGAGATATTGGGAAGAAATCTGTTCCTGTGCGGGCGGTGAGCCCCTGGGGCAGGTTGCCCCGAGAAGCTGTGGCTGCCCCATCCCTGGAGGTGTCCAAGGCCAGGTCGGACGGGGCTTGGAGTAACCTGGGCTGGGGGGAGGTGTCCCTGCCCAGGGCAGGGGGGTGGACTAGGTGATCTTCAAGGTCCCTTCCAACCTAAACCATTCTATGATTCTGTGAAATGTTTTTGGAGAAGATAGTCTTTTGGAATACAAAGCCTGAGGGACGTCAGCATCAGCTAATGGGCAACAGTCCTCTCCAGTTGGAAAGTTTACATTGAAAATCTTTGTTTGATTCCAGACTTGCCAGTAGAATGTGGGACTCTAATGAAAGACATCAAACTTTCAGAAAAGGAAATAACT